GTGGAGACCTAAACTTTTCAGTTGCTTCAGTATCCTCACCTCTCTCCTATTTTGGGAATAAAACTTCTTTTTGACAAATTTTATTGCCAAAATTTCACCTGTTCTCTCATTTCGGCACTCAGCAATCTGGCTGAACTTCCTGTAATGTGTTACTTTTTGGATTTGGTAAACATTGAATCTGCTTGCAACAGACATACCTTCCTCAATTCTGAAAGTAGAATCATCCAAACATTCCTGTGTGGATTTTGCCATTTCACTTCTTCTTGCGGGAGTCCAAAAACAAGCTTCTCTCTTCTAGACAAAGTGAGTGACGTGCTCTCGGGTCCGAGGTCTATAGGTTCTGAGCTTTGATGATGTCAGAAACGCTCCTTTTATAGACGGCGCTGAGCGTGCGCGGGAGTCACGTGGTACGTGAGCGGCGTCGTTCCTTTATGTTACGTGCGCGTGCACGCTGACGCTGACCCCGGAGACGTCAATGGGCTGCAGCAGGAGTGTTTCCATGGTTACCATATGAACGACCCGGAGGTTCGAAATGAAACTATGACGTGCGGCTGACTTTTTTCTTTTTTTTTATCAAAGGCACGCAGGACCGAAGCGTCACCGACCGTTAACCACCGTTATTCGGGGCGCTGGTGTGTAAATAAAAACCAGTCTCGCCTCATGATCGGTGGTGAGAGCAGGAGGCAGCAACTGGTTTGAATGGCTTCACAATGCAACGTTTACTGAATTAAAAGCTCTAAAATTGATGTGGTGAACCAGACAATGAGCAGAAATTCACCTTAATCATTTCATTCAGGTGGACTGAGCCTGTTGATCCGTTTTCTTGGAAGAATCATTTGGCTATAGATAACTAAAAATACAGCCATTACTAGTTAAGCATCCTCGTTAGCTGGTTTAAAGTTATTCCTAGATCAAAGTTTAAAGGTTTGGTGCAACAGGCTTAGCTTTAAGCTTGGTTTAGTGTGAAAATTAAGAGTTTAAAAGAGAGATTAAAATGTAATCCCTCTTAAATTGTAATAATTTAGTGAAGTTTAAAGTTTAGAGCAATATGATTTTAATTTAAACCATTAATTAATTTTAATTTAAATTTAAAGCAATTAAAACATATTAATTATGACCAATAATAATTTACACAACTCACCAAAACAAACATGCACAAACACCTAAAAATAGGACAAACTAACTCAAACATGACTACCCGCTATAGAGCTCCAGACGTCACGTGACTCACAGAGAGTAGACGCCATGTTGGCAGGCAACAAAGGTAAACAAAATGAACAGGATCGGCTTGGATTTTACTTCGTATGAGTTTACTTCACACTTTAAAACCGAACAAATCGAAGAAATTAAATACACTAAACATCTCCGACCCTTACCGTGCCCCTGGGATACTTTTTAAAAACGCCTGAAGCTGTCGGAGCGGACTTCTTACCGGACCTGGCCGGGGAACCCCTTGGGATTCCCCCGGAGGAGCTGGCCCAGGTGGCTGGGGAGAAGGAAGTCTGGGCCTCTCGACTTAGGCTACTGCCCCTGCAACCCGACTCCGGATAAGCGGATGAAAATGGATGGATGGATGGACAAATAACAGATTTACATGTAAGTAGTTTAAATAGAGTGCTGTGCTGTTTGAATGTATAAACTGAACACCAAGAGAAATCACTAGTCTGATTTTTTTCTGTGAATAAAATAAATATGTCAGGCAGGAGCGTCTCAGGATCTGTCTGAGATCTGTCTCGGTGAGACAGATAATAGCAATCCAAAGTGCTTTTTATGTGTGATCTGACAAGTGATCAACCATTGCTTAAAAATTAAATACAGCTTAGCCGGTTAATTGTTGTGATCATAAAACACGTAAACGGCAGCACGCAAAACTCACGAGGCAACGTTTTACGTGACGTTTACTTGTTGCTATGAGTAATAAGACAGAAAAAGCCACGCCAAAATAAGTTTAGGAAGCCCACTAAGAATCGTAATAAAAGCATTTAAAATAAACACCATACACAGTTGAGGAAACGTTGGTTTAAGTACCTGATATGAAGCGGTCGCTGCATAAGCGAAAACCTTTACTCTCGGGATCCCACAGTTTCATTTTAGCCCGGTCACTAGCGCGTTTTATTACAATGATCCAACATTTGCGGTGATCCGGATCTTGGGGAATCCTGTAGATGGCTCATTCCTTATGTCGTCCGTGTCTGTTCTGCATCCTGGGGCACAACAGGAATCTACCGTATTTCCTGTTTGATTGAGTTTTCTGACAATAACAAATAGCCCAGCTGCCGGCTTCTGCCTGCCAAAATGGCGCCGTTTCGATTTGAACTGTTGCATGCCGGGAGAAGTGACGTCAACTCCCGGGACAACTGTACCCAACCCAACCACACACACACACACGCCTACAAGGACCATCCATAATCCAGCTGAGTTTTAAACAAATGATGTCCAAAGAGGTCCAACAAGTTCTTTGCTCATTTACATTTTGCTTGTAAGGATAAATGATGATGAACTTTAATGATCCTGATGGAAAATGGCAGCTGCTCCAGCACGTGCAGGAGATTTAGGCCCAATCTCAATATTCTCACTTGCCCCCTTCACTTGCGCGTTCCCGGCCAAGGGTGCGAGTGCGTAGGGTGTCCCGAATCTCAAGTGCAGAAGTTGGCCACGCCCCCATTGCACCCTTAATCTGCACTTAACCCAAGTCCGCAGTGATTCGGACCTCGAGCAAGGGGATTAACCACAAGTCATTGCTGCAGGAGAAAAGGCTCAAGTTTATTTTCTGAAAATGTGTATTTTCTAATGAAGTCAGTTAATTTTAGGACAATCAGTTAATGCTCTAAAACTTTTAGACAAAGCAGCAATAAATGCAAATTTATTTCCAACAACTGTTTGGCTGTTTGTTTAAAAGTTGTTAATAAAGGTTTTTGAAAAGAGTATCACAGTGACCAGCATCCCGGCATGCGTTGCGATCGATGATGCAATGGTCCTGTCTCAATTCTGCAGTTATGTGCACACTTGTGCACTACGCACTCAAACCCTACTATGCACTTTCTCCAAGTGCACTTTGCTGAAGTCCGCAGGGCGCAGGGCGAGTATTGAGATTGGGCTTTAAAAGCCTGATGGCTGCAGACATGGAGGATTTGCTGCTCTCCCCGTCCTGCACTGAGCAGCCACGTACACCCGTGTGTCTTAGGTCCTTGAAGGTGTTCGAGGTGGTGGATGTAAGGATGTGCTTAGCAAAACGAAAAAGGTAACATTACATGTGTAATGGAACACCAGCAGCTCTGTTTTAGTTAGACGGAACAATATAACCGTTTGGTGTATTTTATATTTATGTTGCTGTAATAAAATTGTGATTTTTAAATTTCAAACTTCTAATTAAATTTTACACATCTGGCATGTTGTAGTTTTTCACGACTGTTTCACACATTTCCTTGTACGTCTGACACAATACAACATGTAACTGATGCACCGACTCCTCTAACCAGGCCTGCCGAACTGCAAGCACAACCTGCTTTACACATGAGTCATCGAAAGGGAAAACACTTGTTACACACAGGGGCGCCTCCAGAAATGTTTGATAGGGGTGGCCAGATGGGGCCAAAGACATTTTTGGGGTGGCATACCAAATTGGTCCTTTGGTAACTCTGGGAGAGTTTAGCCTGTGGTGATATATTGCATTGCTCCTTTATTCGTTTTTATTTTAAAATCAGTACGTATCCAAAACATTTAACTTCAATTTTACAAACACAAATATTTCAGAAAAATACATTTGTTATTTGCGCCCTTGGTAACACGTAATCAAGAGCAACAGTTTCCAACCACTGGTGACCCTTCCTGGATGTCCCACAGACACACTCCTTCCACCAGATCAGATCGATGGCCCAGAGCAGCTCAGGTTTCTTGTCATCTGGGAGAGCATCCGTTCCCTGATCGCTCTGGTTTGCCACTGGTTCACTGCCCACCCATGCCTTATTGTTGTTTATGTCCATCCTCTCCATTCCTCAAGAATTTTTTTCTGCGTGGAGATGGAAAGGGTATGACCCAAGTCCACACACAGATATACCCCTGCTCCAAGCTATGGAAGATGCTCGGCGGGATTGGCCATGCCGTGCACCGTGTGTTCAGGCTAACAGTAAGTCATTCAATGGCGGGAGAATAAGTGGTCATAATGTTTTAACAGATCAGTGTTCAGCTGGTTTTTATGTTTGTTTTGTGTGTGTGTGTGTGTGTGTGTGTGTGTGTGTGTGTGTGTGTGTGTGTGTGTAGTTCCTGCAGTTGCAGTTAAACACCCGTCCCCTAGAGGGCGCTGCTGTCCCAGAAACAGAGGAAGCGTGAGCCTGCGAGAAGCCACCAGTAGGAGGCAGCAGAGAGGCGGACCAACCTGCTCAGGGGGAGAAGAAGAAGATCTTCTCTGTTGTTGTTTTGTTCCTCAGACCTCCTGTTGTCTGCTACGTTTTTAGTTCGTGTCGCGGTTCGGCTCCGCGCACCCTGCGGTGATCCGGGACAGGTAAAGGCAGAGGTCTGTGTGTGAAAAGTTCTGCTTTCATTTCTAAACACTACATTGTGAGACGAGAATCGGAAGTGATGGTAAGAAGAGCCAGCACCAGCTGACGTCTGGGCGCGTGCTGCCGGGCGCGCGTGCTGCTGGGAACAGGTCACGTTCACGGACCTGACCGAGGCCATGGGTGCTGCTGGTCTTTCGGTAACACTGATGTTGTTGGGCTGGCAGCGGCTTCATGAACGAAGCCTTTCAAACAGCTGTTATTACAGTAGTAATAACCTAACAGCTGGAGCGTGACGCGTAAGCATTTAGTGTGAACACAGTCCGTTTACGTGTTTGTTTCTCAGGTCCTGCGGCAGCGCAGCCTTTAAAGGTGCAAAAGCAACAACAGAGAGATGATCACCAAACAGTCCATCATGCTGGGGTTTCAGCTGTTCTCCTCTCTCAACGGCCAAAGAGGGTCTTAGGGTGTTTCTCAATGTCAAGGAACCCCACAGAGGTGTGGACTCGAGTCACATGACTTGGACTCGAGCCGTTATTTTAATGACTTCTGACTTGATAAAATCTATAAAGACTTACAACTTGACTCGGACTTGAACGCCAGTGACTTGCGACTTGATTCGACTTGCACGTGTTGACTTGATGACTTGAGCATATTTGATATTTTAGCACCAAAGTGTCACGACATGGACAAAAATCATGAATCATTCTTCATCCTGGGTTTGATCTTTATAAACAGTTTCAGTTACACGTTCTGCTGTTTGAGCAAATAAAAGACGCTTTATTTCTGGATTTTATTTATCATCATTGTCATTAATTTGAAGTTGGACAGATGACTTGAAAATTCAAAGTTAAGGACTTGGACTTGGTTGTCTTTGACTTGGACTTGACTCGAGACATGACTGGAAAGACTTGTGACTTACTTGTGGGCAGAGAATCATAGGGCAGCAGTAGCTCAACAGGTTGAGCGGGTAGTCCAGTAATCAAGGTTGCAGGTTCGATTCCAGCTCCGGACAGAGAACTATGCTGTTGTGTCCTTGGGCAAGACACTTAACCCACGTTGCCTGCTGGTGGTGGTCGGAGGGACTGGTGGTGCCAGTGCTCGGCAGCCTTGCCTCTGTCAGTGCGCCCCAGGGCAGCTGTGGCTACATCGTAGCTCATCACCATCAGTGTGTGAATGTGTGTGTGAATGGGTGAATGATAGTGTAAAGCGCTTTGGAGTCCTTCCTCTGAGAGGCGCTATACAAGTGCGGGTCATTTATCATTTGTGACTTGCAAAGCAGCGACTTGGTCACACCTCTGGAACCTCCCCACCCCAGTTGCCTAGGAGATACGTCATCAGGAACCACCATGGCGTGGTCCAGTGTTCATGTTCTACTGAGGCATGTGCTCTCCGTTTGTTAACCGTTTATGGCGTTACTGCATGTATGGATGACGTGAAGGGCTGGCTGGCATCCAACTTCTTAAAACTGAATGAAAAGAAGTCTGAGTTTATTGTTTTTGACCCCCGCAACCACCATGGCTCTCACCCTGTTTGTGACCTTTTAACCCTTAACCCCAAACAGTGTGCGACGAGTCTCGGGGTCAAGCTGGATGCTGGACTCACAATGGCCCCACAGATAAACTCTGTAGTGAGGTCTTGTTTTTATCAGCTTCGCCGCCTTACTCACCTCAGACGAATCCTGAAACGGAGGCATTTGGAGTCAGTCATTCATGCATTCATTACCTCTCGCCTGGACTATGCAAACGCCCTCCTCGTTGGTGTTCCGGACTCTGCCCTGAATCGGCTGCAGGTTGTTCAGAACGCTGCTGCCAGGTTCTTGACGGGTACACACCGACGTAGCCACATTATCCCTGTCCTGGCACGTCTTCACTGGCTCCCTGTCATTTTCAGAGTCCAGTTTAAGTTACTGACTTTTGTTTTTAAAGCACTCAAAGACCTGGCACCTCCCTACCTCTCTGCCCTTCTCACTCCATATGTGCCCACCCGCTCGTTGAGGTCGGCTGACCTTTTGCTGCTGTACACGCCGCGGATGAGACTCAAATCGCGGGGGGATTGAGCATTTGTGCATGCTGCCCCAAAGCTATGGAACTCATTGCCCATTAGAGTTCGGCGGGCTCCGTCTCTGGCGGTTTTTAAATCTCGTTTAAAGACCCACTTTTACACTTGGCTTTTAGACAGTGACTCGTTTTAGTGTTTTATTGTGTCATTGTTTTAATGTGTTCTTATTATTCATGTTTTATCTGCTTTTAATTGAGATTTTTATCCTTTGTTTTAGCTCCTTGTAATGGGTGAGTTTTGTTTTAGCCTGTGCAGCACTTTGGGCAGCTCCCATGCTGCATTTTAAATGTGCTATATAAATAAACTATGCTATGCTATGCTTACACGTTAGCGTCGGTTCGGTCCCTTACGGCCCCAGAAATTGTTTTCACACAGGTCAGATTTGTGTTTTTGGTTCTTTCCGACCTCCCCAGCGGTCAGACTGGGACCGAGGTGACACTATGGACTGATTGGCGAGCTGAAATTACACCTACCCCCTCCGATCTGCGATGAGCAGCCGGGGAACAGAACAATGCTTGTTGGCGTCATTGTGCATTATGGACGAATCCGGGCAGCACTAGTTTCCTCATCTGTATTTACTCGGCCAGTGCAGGAAGTGGGGTAGAAGACGATCTTCATGTTCAGCTTTCATGCTAAACCCTGGGGCGCACTGACAGAGGCGTGGCCTATCTCAAACAGGCGCCACCGGACCCTCTGACCACCATCAGCAGGCAAGGGGGTTAAGTGTCTTGCCCAAGGACACAGCGACAGACTGAGCGGGGCTCGAACCTGCGACCTTCCGATTACATGGAGAGCAATTAGCTCCTGTGCCACCGTCCGCAGACATCCACGCTCGGGAACCATTTGGTGGTTTACACACTAGCATCGGCTCCGCCCCCGCCTGGCCGCACTCATGCCACACTGGCTTAGGAATGCGGACGGGATTCAGAACATGGGTGTTCAATAAAATTAGCGTGAAAAATAGATATCAGTGATGTCGTGTGCACGTGGGCGCGGCAAAAGAACGCAGAGAAGTCCGTGGTATAAAACTAAAGCGGCCTGCTTTTGGAGACTCCGACACTAATCCTGCGTTGCTGTGTGTGGCCACGGCACCTCGGGAAGAGGACCGGCAGAACGTCCGGTTGCAGGCGGGAAAGTCCCGAGAACACTCCCAACCCGGTGCAGGCGGAGTGGAGCCGATGCTGGTGTGTAAGTGGCAGATGTTTACCCCACTGCATCCATTTGTGAACCCGACTGAAGGATGCTCGTCTCACGTTGCTGCAGGACCTCTGCTCTCCAGCAGGTGGCAGTGGGAGGAAGGATGACCTCAAAGTCCGTGTGCCTCCCTCCCCTCTGCAGGAGCATGATGATATAAAAAAAGTAAGCATTTTCTGTTCTGAGTTATTTGCACTGGTGTGTATTTCTTAGGTTTGTTACCATGACGACCAAACACGGACCGATCACCAATTCCTTCAAGGTGGTGAAGAAAACGCGGAGAGGAGGAAAACAGAACAAGAGCCCCACACCTCCTCCTGCTCCTTCTCCTCCTCCTGAGAGAGGTGAGGATGAGCAACATGGGGTGTGTGTGTGTGTGTGTGTGTGTGTGTGTGTGTGTGTGTGTGTTAGGATAAAAGATTTGGGAAGCTCTCAGTGATTGAAAGAAAGATGATTTATTAGGTAACAAACACTAAGAAAGTGTCCCGTGGCCCCCCCCCCCCCCCTCCTCCAGGAGACGACGTGTTTAAGACCACCAGGGAAGAGGAATTACAGAAACTGAGACAGTTTGACCTGGACTGGAGGTTCGGGCCCTGCACAGGTGAGTCACACACCTGGCTTTGTCATAAAAGCCATAGCTAGATGGTGACTTCTGCTTCTGAGGGCCTGTTTCGTACTATTTGAAACCTGTCAGAGCAATGGGCCCCCATGGAGACGTCAGTTGTTCAGAAACAAGTTTTTATCTTGAGACGTCTCGTTAATCCAAAAGTAAGACCCTGGGATTTGATCCAATCCGGCCCCCATCAGTGTGAACTCCGCCCATTTCATGATGTAACCCTAGATCAAGCATCATGGAGCATGAAGAGAAACAAACGGCCCATTCCACGATTGCAGAGTGACCCCCCCACCCCCCAGATAAGCTGTTAGTGAACCGTTAACTAGCTCACACCACTCCCAGCTGGGATGAATTATTACCCCAGTCCGTCCCTGATTCTCACCCACCTAGCGTTCAGCTAGCCGTTAGCATTTTGGTTGTGCTCCATGCCCTGGCCTCCATCGGGTGGTTAATCCGTCTGAAAAGCCAGTCCAGCAGTGGTGGAGGTTTAACACGCTCACGTTCTGGCTCGGGTTCTGAGCGCTGCTGAAGATAAAATCCAGCCTTTTCTGCTTCTTCGGGAGGACCAGACTAGGTCCTGTTCCTCTTGCAGACAAAAATCCATTTTTGGGTTCTGGGCTTTATTTAAAGAGCAGACACTAAATAAGAAAGAAATCACTTCTTCGCATCTGTGGAGATTAAACTCCCTGTTTATTTTAGACTGAATTCTCCCAGAATTGGAGAACAGAATTCAATAAAACAGGCATCGGAATATAAATTCTGCCTGTTTTAGGTCTTCTTCCTGAAGAATAAGCAGTCAAAAGGAAATCTAAATATGTTCTATATCTGAAATTTTAACCAGCTTTCAAAGAAATAAAAATCACAACAGACATCATCAGTGCTCAGAAAGAACAGACATTTCATTTCTTCATATCCTCTGTTGTCGCTGTAGCAATTAGTTTCTGCTCGGTGAGTCCCGGTGTGAAGGCGTTAGCTTCCATCCTTCTGCATCGTTTCTGGAAAATTCTTGATTTTCTGAAGTAGTTGAAGTTTTTTCAGATTCACCTGTCTGCTACGGCTGTTTAGCTGGTACACTTGGGTCTGACCACATCCACCTAATTACCACTAAATGCTTTTATTTTATTCGTTTTGTTCTTACCTGTCCTCATTTATCATTTTCTATTGTACTGGACTAAAAATGGACCAGCGGCTGTTAGGAAACTGGACAGGGAACTGAACCGGGGGACAACGGACAAGAAGGTTTAGGCCCTGTCCACACGTAGCCGGGGATCTGCCAAAACGTAGATATTTTTCTACGTTTTGGCCTGTCATCCACACGAAAACGGAGTTTTTTCACACGAAAACGGATCTTTTTAAAAATTACGGCCAAAGTGAAGATCTGCGTTTTCTCCGTTTTGGGTGTCTGCGTGTGGACGGACAAAACCGGAGTTTTAAGGTCCGCAACGTCACTTTCCGCGACAAAAAAATGCTGACATCACGTGTGTGACCTGTGTTTACACTAGCCGACAGCATGGAAGCCCTCAGAGCTGCGCTCGCTTTATCAATCGTCCAAGCGCTTTCTGCTTGTTTGTTTTTGCAAGCGGAATTACTGCTCCTTGCGGAAGACCACAGACGAAGGACGAGGTTAAGAACGGGGGAAGTACTGCCGCCTGCAGGTCTGGCATGTCCTTAACAACGTATTTATCCGGGTACGTGTGGACAGAGTTTTTAAAAACGAGGTGGTGTGGATGCAAGTTTTTGGAGGGGCGGATATTCGTTTTTAAAAACCCGGCTACGTGTGGACTAGGCCTGAGTTTAATAATGAAACAAAGAAGGAACAGCCCTGACTGATGTAATGGTTCTGAGTTCTGAAGACAGGAGTTTAAATCTGTAAAGTAAAGCTGCTTCTTTGAGCTGTGGCTAACTCTCTGAGGATTCCTGTCGTCCCCTTTAGTTCTAGGTATCAGCAGGCTGCAGAGGTGGGACAGAGCACAGCTTCATGGTCTGGAGCCACCTGAGGAGATCAGATACCTGCTGCTGCAAACACACACTGACGCTGAATACAGACGGAGGTAACACACACACACACACACACACTGCAGCTGTTCTACTAATTCCAGCTGCTGTATGTGATTAACCCTTCAGCTGTTCCCGTGTGTCGTTTCCTCTCATCGGTGTGTTTTTGTCTTGCAGCCTGTGGAGAGACCACCCTTTCTGAAGGAGAGGAGCAGCCTCCTGGGAAATTCATCTTTTAATATATTGACAATTTTTGTAACCATGTTTTCTGCCTTTGTTCTGCCTTCTGTGAAAACATTTTATTATAATCTGTAAACAACTGCCACCGAGTCTCGGTGTTATGTGTGATGGCCGCTTTCAGACGTGAAATCCCTCGCCCTTTTGGCGTTTTTAAACCTGACATGGGTCACCTACACGACCAAAGGTGTTGTGTTTCTGCATGACAGCGAGGGTTTCACAGATTAACCAGTTTGGCTGTTAAACACGGGATGAAATATTGCACAAGATGCCAATTCAATTCAAGTTTATTTATATAGCGCCAAATCACTCCTCCTTGAACCGTCACCTTATCGTGGTGGAGCATTTTGAGTGCCCTAATGATCCTAGGAGCTATGTTGTCTGGGGCACTAATTAGTGCCCCTGGTAGGGTCTCCCATGACAAATTGGTCTTAGGTGAAGGGTGAGACAAAGAACGGTTCGAAGGATCTTTCATGGCGGTTAAAACGAAGAGTCGGAGTACCCGGCCCGGAGGGTTACCGGGGTCCCACCCTGGAGCCAGGCCTGGGGTTGGGGCCCGTGAGCGAGCGCCTGGTGGCCGGGCTTTCGCCCATGGGGCCCGGCCGGGCCCAGCCCGAACCGGATACATGGGCTCGTCCAACTGTGGACCCACCACCCGCAGGAGGAACATGAAGGGTCCGGTGCAATGCGAATCGGGTGGCAGACCAAGGCGGGAGCCTTGGCGGTCCAATCCCCGGACAAGAAAACTAGTTTTTGGGACATGGAACGTCACCTCGCTGGCGGGGAAGGAGCCGGAGCTTGTGGCAGAGGTTGAGCGGTACCGGCTAGATATAGTCGGACTCACCTCGACACATTGCATTGGCTCTGGAACCCGAGACCTGGAGAGGGGTTGGACACTCTACTTTGCTGGAGTTGCTCCGGGTGAGAGGCGGAGGGCTGGGGTTGGCTTTTTGTTAGCCCCGAGACTCTCTGCCTGTGTGTTGGGGTTTACCCCGGGGGACAAGAGGGTAGCTTCCTTGCGCCTTCGGGTCGGGGAACGGGTCCTGACTGTTGTTTGTGCTTATGGGCCAAATATCAGTTCAGAGTACCCACCCTTTTTGGAGTCCCTGGGACGAGTGCTAGATAGTGCTCCATCAGGGGACTCCATTGTCCTGCTGGGGGACTTCAATGCTCACGTGGGCAATGACAGCTTGACCTGGAGGGGTGTGATTGGGAGGAACGGCCCACCTAATCTGAACCCGAGCGGTGTTTTGTTATTGGACTTCTGTGCAAGCCGCAGTTTGGCCATAACGAACACCATGTTCGAACATAAGGATGCCCACCGGTACACTTGGTACCAGGGCAGCCTAGGTCACAGGTCGATGATAGATTTTGTAGTCGTATCATCTGACCTGCGGCCATATGTTTTGGACACCCGAGTGAAGAGAGGGGCGGAGCTGTCAACTGATCACCACCTGGTGGTGAGTTGGATCAGATGGCAAGGGAACATGCCGCGTAGACCTGGCAGACCCAAACGCATAGTGAGGGTCTGCTGGGAACGCCTGGCAGAAGAACCTGTCAAGACGGTCTTCAACTCCCACCTCCGGCAGAGCTTTGACCACGTCCCGAGAGCAGTGGGGGACATTGAGTCCGAGTGGGCCTTGTTCCACTCTGCGATTGTCGAGGCGGCTGTTGCTAGCTGTGGTCGCAAGGTGGCCGGTGCCAGTCGTGGTGGCAACCCCCGTACCTGCTGGTGGACACCAGAGGTTCGGGGAGCCGTCAGGCTGAAGAAGGAGGCCTACAGGGCGTGGCTGGTCTGTGGGTCTCCGGAGGCAGCAGACAGGTACCGGATAGCCAAGCGGGGTGCAGCAGTGGCAGTTGCCGAGGCAAAATCTCGGGCGTGGGAGGAGTTTGGTGAGGCCATGGAAAAAGACTATCGATCGGCTCCAAAGAGGTTCTGGCAAACTGTCCGGCGCCTCAGGAGAGGAAGGCAGCAACTCGCTCACACTGTTTACAGTGGGGATGGGGAGCTGCTGACGTCAACTGAGGCTATAGTCGGACGGTGGAAGGAATACTTTGAGGAGCTCCTCAATCCCACCAATGCGCATTCCGAGGAGGAACCAGAGCCGGGAGGCCTGGGGATGGACTGTCCGATCTCGGGGGCAGAAGTTGCTGAGGTAGTCAAACAACTACACAGCGGCGGAGCCCCGGGGGCGGATGAGGTTCGTCCTGGGTATCTCAAGGCTCTGGATGTTGTAGGGCTGTCATGGTTGACACGTCTCTACAACAT